AGTCGAGGCCGCCTGGGTCCGCCTGGGTCCGCCTTTCCTTGGGGAGCTGCTGCGGAGTCACCCAGGGGGTGGCCTCGAATTGGGCTTCTATCCATCCACTCAGTGGGTCTTCACTGAGAACTTATTACGGCCAAAACGCTTGTCAAAGCCACGGGGACGCACAGGGCTGGGTGGAGAAGCCGGCTCTCAAGGAGCTTCCGTCCATGAGCGTGACAGGCAATCAGCAGGGGACTGGAGAGGCCACTCGACTCCATCGAGCGTCCGGAGGAAGCGAACGCGGCGGTGAGCGTGCGTGTCACCAGGGAGTCAGCCACGGCGGCGACGTTTGAACTGGAGACCAGAGCGAAAGGCCGGCCACACGACGGCGGGCCAACCGCAGCCCCACAGGGTCCGGCACACGCGAGGCGCCGGGGCGGGACGGCAGGGCCGGGGACGGCAGGGCCGGGCCGCGTGTCTGCTCCTGCCGCGCACCCGCCGCAGGGCGAGGGCCGGCCGCACGCCCGGCCACGGAGGGAGGGAGGCCCGGGGTTCGGAGGAGTGCCGCCCCGAGTGGGGGGGTGGTCCCCGGTCAGCATTTCCACTCTGAGGGTGTGGCGCGGGGCCCCGAGGGGCGGCCCCTGAAGCTGGTTGCAGGCTCAGATTCTGGCTACGCCCCGCTGCTGCGCCGGCCCTGAGCCTCCGAGTTGCCGCGAGCCCTCAGGTGCGCGGTGTGGGCGACACTGCTCTGCAGGGCGGGGCCGTTAAACAGGCGACGTGTGGGCCCCGCGGCCCCCCCGGATGAGGGCCACAGGGTGCCGAGAGGTCCCCGGGTGGCAGAGCACACAGGGGATGTGTGGGGCCGGGTCCCAGGGGAGCCCCTCGCGGACAAAGAAGCTGTGGACGGGAAGCAGAGAGCGGAGGACGTTCCCGGGGGAGGTAGCCCGAGCCAACAGGGTCTGGGGGTGCACACCCCAGCCTGGCCCCGAGGGGCCTGGGGCGCCCCGGCTGGTGGGACCCCAGCCTCTCAGTCCCGAGGAGGCCGCTGAAAGGCAGTTGCCCTGACGAGCATTTTTGTCACCGAGAAGCTCTCGGTGACCAGGAAAAGCAGCGGGGACGTCCCTGCCCTTCTCCACCGAGTCCTGGGAAGTCAGCAGCGCACGCCCCTGACAACCACCCCCTGCCGTTCGCAGGGCCCTTTCTCCCATGGAGCTGGGGCGCCGAGGCGCCGGCGCAGGCACGCGGCCATCCGCCTGGCTGCGGTTCCTCCCGGGGCCCCAGGACCCGGCTCAGCACAGGCAGGTAAGGGCTTCCCGAGGGCCCAGGCCCCAGCCGACGGCAGCGGACGTGCTGGGGTGCCGGTGGGAGCCGGGGGACCCAGGCCCCGGGGTCTGCTCTGAGCCTCAGCGTCCACAGACATGCTAGCCCCCCCGCAGCGGGCGGCCGAGAGTCCCGCTGGCCCACGTTCCAGGCGTGCGACGGGTGTTCTTAACTCAGCACACACGTGTCGGGCACGTACCGCGGGCGAAGGCCTGCCGCGGACAGCAGGGGTGCGGCAGCGAGACGTCCCGGAGCCCCTTCCGGCGGAGAGACAGGCAGTAAGCAAGGGAGCGGCCGGGCCACGCCGGGCCGTGGGGGCGGGGCGACCCGGCGTCGGGGGGCAGCGGGGGCCCCGGCCGGGCAGGCGGCTGGCGGGAGCGACCATGCAGGGAGGGCAGCACGTGAGAAGCCCCTGGGGCAGGAAGGCGGGGGCCGGGCAGAACGCCCCGGGGCCAGGGTCGAGGGGCTCGCCGCCCCAGGGGGCCTTCAGGGCTGCGCGTGGTTCTCTTCTGGGGGCGCGGGAGCCAGGCGACCGGCCCCGTTCAGCAAGGTTGGGGGACGGAGCTTTGGGGAGCCGCTGCATCAGTCCCGGCCGCACGGGAGGCGGGGGTGGCCCCGCGGGCGGAGGAGGGGGTGTGGGCTGGACTCGCACGTGGGTGCGTCTCGGGACCACCTGGCCCGGGCAGGAGGGGCAGCAAAGGGAGGGGCCTGCGGGCTTCGGTCCCGAGCTGAGGGCAGGCTGGACCGTGCCCGCTGAGGGGCCGTTTTTGTTTCCCAGTGACGAGAACAGCACCTGGCAGCCCGTTGGTGGGGCTCGGAAGCGCCCCCCGGACGGAGGAGGGGCACAGCCGGCCACATCCTGCTTCGCCATCGGCGCCCAGGCCCTCCTGCTGCCCTGCGGCAGCAGGTCCCCCGGCAGACGGCCCGCACCGCACCTGAAGCAGCCCCGCCGCGGCCGCGGCTGCCACGCGGCCTCCCCTCCCCGCCAGCGTCTTCGGGGGGCCCTGGCGGGTGGCGGCCCTGTGTGTAGAGGATTTAAAAGCAGCAATAAAACGCACTGAAAGCCAGGATGCGCTGTCCTGTCACCATGGCGACCGTGAGCCTGGCGGGGACACACACAGCCCCCCAGGACTGGGCCGAGGCGGCCGACCGCGTCTCTCCTCGTTTCTGGAGGCGGCTCGGCCGGGGCTGGCAGGGCAGCGGCCCAGGCTGTCACCGAACCCATGAGGCAGCCGTCGCGGCCCCCGTTGGGGCCCCCCTGGCTGCCCAGTGGCGAGCTGGCCTTGACCCCACAGCCCAGCGCAGCCGCGCACACAGGCCGCAGCCCCGGCACCTGGGTCGGCCTTTTGCCAAAACCCGTTTTACTTCCCCGTGTGTCTCTGTCCCAAGCTACGGCCCTGCGAGCCGGGGTGGCGCTGAAAGGGAGACGGCCAGTCTTCCTCCACACCCCTTCGGCCTCCACGGCAGGGGGCTGCAGGCAGCCGGGCGCCAGCTGGCCGGCATCAGCGTCCGCGCGGCCGGGGAGGCCTGCGGGGTGAGCGCGGGAATGTGCCGGGCCAGCAGGGAGGCGGGGGCGGGGCCGCTGTGATTAACCGGCCCCCCCCCCTGCCCCCCGACTCCTCCTTCCAGGGTCGGCGACAGAGGAGCCGCCCCAGAGCCCGCGGGAGGACCGGCGCGGAGTGACCCCGGGTCTCCTGCCACCGGAGCGGGCGCCCGGGCCAGGCCAGGGAGACGTATCCATCTTAAGTCGACGACTGAACGAACTGTAGTCAGTTTGCAGGTTGTGCCTCCGGCACCGTCTGCCGCGGAGCGTCCTGGGGCGCGAAACAGAGCCCCGCCGGCCTGAGCTGTCACCCCAGCCCCGGAGCCGCAGGCCCCTCCGTCTCTGGGTGTTGCCTTTTCTGGACGTTGCGAAGCTCACAGGAGAGCGCCCTGGCCGGCGTCTCCCTGCTGGGCCACGGCTCCGACGGGCGAGCTCGGCCCCCGCCTGGTCCTGCGAAGCCGGGCCTCCTGAACGTGCGTCCCGGCGGCCGTGTCTCCAGACGTCCTCAGCCCCGAAGGGCTCTGGGCCGCACCGTGTGAGGAGGCGGGTCAGGACAGGGGTGGGGACACGCCCGCCCCGTCCCCAACCCCCGGCCTGAAGTCACAGGCGTGTGCCAGGCAGGCTCGGGGAGCCGGTGCAGCGGGCGAGACACGCTGGGCGGTGGCGTGTGTTCGGGGCCGGCCGCAGCCCCGTCTTCCCGGGAAGCCACAGCAGCCGCGCTCGACTGAGGTGGGCGGCGCCGGGCAGCCTTTGCGGCCTTTCCGGGAGGTGGCCGCCCTCCCCGTGACCCAGTGCAGTCACTTTGCCGGCCCAGGGGCTCACCCCGGACGGTGGGCCCCGAGACCTCGGGGGGAGGAGGAGGGGCTCCCTGAGACTGGCCGGGTCGCGCGGCAGCGAGAGCACGGGGCCTTCTCTGCTCTCCACTCTTCCTCCCAGTGGGCCTGGGGCCCCGCGGGGGCGTTTGGCAGCTGTCACCCGGCACAGAGCCACACCCGCATAAGCGGATGGGGACACCACCGCCCCACTTGCCAAGGGGACCCTGGGGCCAAGTGCACGCTGGCTTTGCATCATCACCGGCCCCGGGGGAGGGTGGCGTCGGCGCTTGGCTCCCGGTCCTTGGGAGGCAGGTGCCCCACAGGCCCTGCAGCTGCGTCCCGCCCCGTCCCCCCCCCCCCCCCGTCCGCACGTCTGGCGCTGGTGCCAGTGGCAGCCTGCTCCCTCCGCCCTCTTCGTGCGCGGACAGGAGAGAAAGGGCGGTCGCTGCCATCCTTTCCACAGGGGCGTGGGCGACCTTCAGGCCGCAGGTCACAGGCCCTCAAGCCCCTGAGCTGAGCAGCTGGGGACGTGGGGGCTGGGAGCGTCGCCAGGGCCGGCGTCTGTCTGCTGGGCGGTTTGCCTTTTCCAGGGTTGTTACGTTGCCGGCTAAGGGTCACACGTCCCAAGAGGAGTCGCTCCATGTTCTCCCTGGAGATGGGGGGACAGGGTGGCAGCCCCGGGGCCCCGTGTCTGCAGGGCAGCCTGGGAGGAGCCCCTAGTCCAAGCAGAGCCGGGGCGGGCAGGCGGGAGGAGGTTGCACTGCCCGAACCCACATGCCTGAGTGTCCGCCTCCGAGGACCAGTGTGGCCCCACTGTGAGGTGCTTGCTTGGTGACCCTGCGCAGGGGCTGTGTGCAGGGCTGGGGTCTCCTGCCCCCCCGTCCTCTCTGGGACCTCAGCCGCGACCCGGTCCTGGCCTCCGTGTCACCCTTTTCCCTGGTCCCCGGAAAGGAGGCGGCGGCCCTTCCGCGGGGGAGCCGCCGGGCAGCAGGCGGAAGGCCGACCAGCCTGACACTGTTTGTTTGCATTCCGATCGCCCTGCTCACGCGCCAGCCGGTCGCGGCCCTGGGCCTGGTCACCGCGCAGACGGGCTGGAGTCTGACCAGGGCCTCCCCAGGCGCCATCCTTGGGGAGCCCGCAGCGGGCGAGTTCGGGGCGAGCTTGGGGCGCCTGTGCCTCCGCTGCGGCCGGTCGGAGGGACGGCCGACAGGCGGTGACTTGTGCAGCCCCATCTCTCTGGGCGGCAAGCAGGCTGCGCTGCACACGCCCGCGGCCGCCCCCGACCCGCTCTCTCCCGCAGGAGGCCGTGGAGGCGGCGCCGGCCGAGGACAGCCCGGGGCAGCGCCATGGCCGCGGGGCACAGGGACGTGCTGGTGCTGCTGCCCACGCAGGAGCAGCTGCGGCTGGTCGTGGGGGTGAGCGCCGGGGCGAGCGGGGGGTGGGCGGGAGGACGGCGGGGGCCGTGGGGTGAGCACGGGGACATCGGGGGCCCTGTGGGGCCCACGAGGGGCCGACGTGCTCACTGCTCTTCCCTCTCGGATGGGGTTGTGTCCCTTGATGGCACTGCTGGCGCCTCACACACGCCAGTCCCCACGGCGTCTGGGGTCCTGGGGCTGCGCGCTGACCAGTCCCCATGGAGCCCAGCACCTTCCTGGGCTAACCGTGCGCCAAGGGGCCCCCCCCATCTGGACCTCCTTCCTGTGCCCTGGGGGCGGGGTGGGCCTGCGCGGCCGTGCCCCCTCCTGGAACCAGCGCTGAGAAGGGCTGGGGGATCAGACCGCGTCTGCAGCCCCCGAGCCCCCTGACTGGGAGGCTGGTCCTCCCACGCCGGCGCCGCTGGGGGGTGGGGAGGCAGCTGCGTGCGTAGCATGTCCCCCACAAGACACCAAGGCTGCGGCCTTCCGCGCAGTGTGCAGCTGTCGCGGCCCCGGCGCCGTGTGCGCCTCCCCTGGGTCCTTCCCTCCCATTCTCCGCCCCCAGCCCCCTAGACCCCCCCTGCCCCCGGCCCCCGGCCCCCGGCCCCCGGCACAGCCATTTCCTTCCAGGCGTCCGATCCCCTGACTGCGCCTGAGTCTTCGGGAGGTGACTGTCATTAGTTCCTCCGAGGCAGGGACTTCCCACGGAGGCAGCTGCTGGAGGCTGTGCCCGCAGCCAGCAGGCAGCTGTGCCGAGGGGCCCGTCCCTGGCCCAGGCTGTGCTTTCGGGGAGACGTTAATCACGAAACTTTTCAGCTCGCTCAGCCAGCACCCACAGGGGCGCCCCTGCCACGAGCCCTGAGCTCGCGGCTCAGCGCCCTTCCCCCGCCAGCGGGGGCTCAGGGCAGAGGGGGCGGGGAGCCGAGCACCAAGTGGAAGCAGGGGCCGCTCGGCCACGGTCGGGGGGGCACAGGCGCCCTTTGTCCGCCTGCTTTAGTTGTGCTGAGAGGAAGAGGAACCCCCGGAAAGCAGGCTGGCCCAGCGGTGGCACTTACATTTCAAGGATAAGGAGGTTCAGGGGTGGCTTTGGGCCGCGGGGGCCATGCTCTGAAATGAGGTGCAGCTGCTCCTGGAGAGATTTGTCAGGCCCCCCCGAGTCTCCTCTGCTCGGGGACACGTCTCTGTGAGCGGCAGCCTCTCGCCAGGCCGGCGACGCGCGGCGGGAGCAGATGGGCGGGTTCCCCGGGTTCCTGCATCCTCGGCGGTGCCTCAGGCCCCCGGGGGGAAGGTGGGAAGACGGGGTCACAGCAGCTCTACCTGATACTGAGAAACAAACACAGGGCACCGCCACTTTGAGGGGACAAAGATACTGGCCCAGATGAAAGAGCAGAACAAAACCTCCCAAAAAGAACTAAGCAAAACAGAGATAAGCAACCTCTCAGATGCGGAGTTCGAAGCCCTGGTGATGAGGATGCTCAGGGAACCCCCTGAGTACAGCCACAGCGTACGGGAAGAATCGAAGGCCACACTAAGTGAAGTGAAGAGCGAGCCACAGGGAGCCAGCGGTGACGGGGCGGAAGCCGGATGGACCCACATCAACGATGTGGAACGTAAGGAAGAAATAAGCATTCGACCAAAACAGAAAGAAACAAGAATTCAAAAAAACGAGGTGAGAAAGAGGAGACTTGGGGACTTATCCAAAAATACCAACATCTGAATCACAGGGAGGCCAGAAGGAGGAGAGGAAGAGCAAGAAATTGAAGCTTATTTGAATAATGAAAACTTCCCTAATTTGGTAAAGGAGATAGACATACAAGTTCAGGAAGCACAGAGTCCCAACGAACTGGACCCAAAGAGGCCCACGCCAAGACACATCATAATTAAATTGTTAAAGGTTAAAGGTAAAGAATCTTAAAAGCAGCAAAAAGAAGGGAGAGTTCCCTACAAAGGAGCTCCCGTAAGACTATCAGCTGGTTCCTCAAAAGAAACCTCGCAGGCAGGAAGGGGCCGGAAGGAAGGGTTCAAAGTCATGGAAGGCAGGGACCTCCATCTGAGACTATTCTACCCGGCAAAGCCCTCACTTCGGAGGGAAGGGCAGATAAAGTGCTTCCCAGACGAGGCCAAGCCAAAGGAGTTCATCGCCACCAGGCCCTTATTGTATGAAATGTTAAAGGGACTTATCTAAGAAAAAGATGAAGACCAGAAACTATGCACAGTAAAATGACAACAAACTCACAACTGTCACCAAATGAAGCTAAAACACAAAAACTAAGCGAAGAACTAGAACCGGAACAGAATCGGGGATCCCATGGAGGGTTTATCAGCGGGGTGAGGGAGGGGGGAGAATGGGGGGAGAATGCGGGGAAAGGTACAAGAAATGAGAAGCACAATTGGTGGGCACAATATAGGCCGGGGAGGTGAAGAATAGCACAGAAAATGGAGAAGCCAAAGAACTTCTATGTCCGCCCCATGGACTTGAACTATGGGGGGGATGCCGGTGGGAGGGGGCCTCACCTGCCTCCTCCGCCGGTGGCTTCCGGGGATGTGGGCTCCTCTGGTGGCTTCCAGAGTGGGGAGAGACCCGGCCCTGAAGCCGACACCGCCGGCTGTCACAGCCGCCAGGGACGCCGTCGGGCAAGGCTTGTCCCGGCGGCCTTGCCCTCCGGCCCCACCAACCCTGGCCCCTCGCAGCCCCCCTGCTGGGTTGGGGGGCCGCCTGGTCTTCAGTGAGGGCGGTCGCCGCGGACCCTGAGCGCCGACTCCAGGGCGAGCAGCCTGAGCCCGGCCCTGCCTGCCAGGCCCAGCCTGGGGGCCCACCCCGCCACGGTCCCCGCTGCGGGGCCTCACTGGCAGCTGCCCTGGAGCCCCCCGCTCTCTGGCAGGTGCAGGCCACCGGGCGCGAGCTGTTCCAGCAGGTGTGCGACAAGACCGGCGTCAGAGAAGCCCGCTTCTTTGGCCTCAGTGTGATCAAAGGTAAGCCAGCTCCGCCCTCGGGGCCCCCACCCGAGGGCCCCCAGCCGGGTGCACCCGCCTCCTCTGGGGGCTGAGCCTGCAGGGCGCCCGCCCTGCTCGCTGTGCGCTCTGGACGTTGTCGCCCCACATCCTGGCTCTGTGACACCCACGGGCACCCAGCCCGGGTCCCTGAGCCCCGCATGCTGGCCCTGGCGGGACCCCAGCGGCCACCCGTCCTCGCGTCCGCAGGCGGCACGCGCCACCTTCCATCACAGGCCGCGGGGCTGCGCGCCGCGTCCGGGGCGGTGCTGGGGGAGGCACCTTAGGGAGACCACACTTGGTCACACGTGGGGGTCCCGCTCCCGAGGTGCAGTGTCAGAAGGGGGCTCCCCGGTCCCAGCGCTGACGTGGTGCACGCCGTGACGGCGTCGCGGTGCGGCTCCCGCCGCCGCGCCTCCTGGGGGCCGTCGGCCGGCTGGTCTCAGGCTGTTGAGGCGACCAGAACCGCCTCGCGCACGGTCGTTTGTGCCTCTTAAGAAGCCAGTGCAGTGTCGAGACTCCTGAGCGGGACCAGGTCCCCGAGGCTGTGGGTGAACAGGCTTCCAGATGTGCAGCCACTCCCATGTGGGGAGGACTTGGCCGCCTCCGGGAGAGGGGCGGCCGGAGGGCAAGGCCGCCGGGACAAGCCTTGCCCGACGGCGTCCCTGCTGGCTCTGGCAGCCACCGGTGTCGGCTTCGGGGCCGGGTCTCTGCCCACTCTGGAAGCCACTGGCAGAGCCGGGAGCCGACACCCGACACCCTGCAGCCCGCAGCCCGCACCCCGGCCTGCGGGGACCCCGCCGCACAGGCTGTGACTCACGGGGACATGGGCTGGCGGGCAACTCTGAGGCTGGCCCTGCTGCTCTTTCCAGACAACGAGCACATGTTTATGGATTTGGAGCAGAAGCTCAGCAAGTACTTCCCGAAGGACTGGGGCGGAGAACCGCAGAAGGTGAGTGCCGGCAGGGCCTGGCACCCGGCCGTGCGGCGACTCGGGGCGGGCGGCGCCATCCGGCCGTCGCCGTCAGCATGGCCCTCGCTCTGCGCACCCCCCACAGGGCGGCGGGCGCTGCGGGGCGGCCTCCGTGGTCTTCCTGCGGGTGCAGCACTACGTGGAGGACGGCAGGCTGATGAGGTGCGCGCGGGCGGAAGCACCTCGGTTCCGGCAGTGAGGGCTCCCGGGCGCGGCTGTGCCTGCTCTCTGGGGTGGGGACGTGGGGTGGGGACGTGGGGTGGGGACGTGGGGTGGGGACGTGGGGTGGGGACGTTGGGCGGAAACAGGTGGGTTTGGGGGTTTCTGCTCAGATCGTGGATATCCTTCCACGTGGGGTCTGCGTGCTCTCGGCGGTGAGCTGCGGGTGTCGGGCGGGCGGGGAGGGGGCCCCTGTGCCTGGCCTTCCTGCCGGGCCGGAGGGACGACCAGGCCAGGGCCAAAAAGGACTGGTGTCACCCGGGGCCACGGGGGCCACCAGGCTTCTGAGAGGAGGAGAAGAAGGGACTGGGGCTGTGTGGCAGGTTCTGGAGAAGCCGCAGTGGGCATGGCTGGTGGGGGCTGTGGGGTGCTGCCCCCCGGCTGCGAGGGCTGAGAGGAGCCACGTCGATGGTGGTAGAGGACGGGAGCCGCTGTCCTCGGAGCCGAGTGTCCGCCCCGCCCCGCCCCGCCCCGTCAGAGCTCACGGGGAAGGAGTCCGTCTCTGGAAAGGCTCTGCAGCTGGCGGCAGGGGCGCAGCCCTGCTCCACGGTCCCTGCTGGGTGTGGGGCTGCTGGGGGGGCCCTGCCGGGGACGGAGCTGGCCTGGCCTGTGGAGAGCTGAGGCGCCAGTGTGCCGGGCGGGAGTGACCAGCAGCACGCGGCCCAGCGCCTCCCTGGCAGGTGGCCTGGGTGCAGCAGAGGGGACTGGGGTGCCTGGGGGGCTGGGCGCGGGGAGGAGCCTTGCGCCCCCAGCCCGCCTGCTGCCTTCCAGAGACCGGGCGGCCCGGCACCTGTACTACTGCCACCTGAAGGAGCGGGTGCTGGGGTCCCGGTGCACCCACCGCGAGGAGGCGTACTTCCTGCTGGCCGCCTACGGGCTGCAGGCCGACCTGGGCAACCACCGGCCCCAGGCCCACGTGGGGCGGTACTTCGAGCCTGAGGCCTACTTCCCACAGTGGGTGAGGCCGCGGGGGGCGGGCAGGGCGGTGGGCAGGGCGGTGGGCAGGGGGGCGGGGATGGCGGAGGCGGCGGGGGCGGCTGGGAGGCGGGGGAGCCTGAGGGGCCCTGCTGGGTCGCAGGTCATCGCCAGAAGGGGCAGCGCCTACCTCCTCAGGCACGTGCCCGCCCTGCACCGCGAGCAGCGGGGCCTGAGCCCCAAGGAGGCCGCGCTGCGCTTCATCCGCGAGGCCTGCCGGCTGGAGGACGTGCCCGTCCACTTCTTCAGGCTGCACAAGGTCAGGCGCGGCGGCCAGCGGGGGAGACGGGAGCCCGGGCGGCCCCGGGAGGGCCCCCGATGGGCGGCCAGGACGCAGGCCCCGGGACAGGAGGGACGGTGTCCCCCCGGCCGACCACGGCCAGACGCCGAGCTCAGGACCGCGGGCCGCGCCCGTGCAGCACGCGGTGGCTGCCCGCGTGGCGGTGCTGCTGCGGTCCCCAGCGCACGGTCGCACGGCAGGGAGTGTGCTGGGACCCGCCCAGAAGGTCCCTGTGACACAGGCGCCGCTTCTCCCCAAGCTGTGCCGGACGGACGTGCGGGGGCGGAGCCTGCTGTCCCCCTGCCCGCGTCGCATCGGGGTTCGGATGAGGCTGTCGGTGGGGAGCGGGTCAGAGCCGGAGCGGCAGGCGGGGGAACAGGCCTCCAGCATCGGGCGGCCGTGGGAGGGGCCTGGGAGCCGCGCCCCCGCCCCCCGGCCCTAGGCACAGGCTCTGAGCTCCGCCCCGGGCACCCTTGTAGGACAAGAAGGAAGACAGACCTACTGTCCTCCTGGGGCTGGCCCTCAGGGGGTTGCACGTCTACCAGGTAGAGCCCCTGCCCCGAAGGGCTGGCGCCCCCGCCCTGGACACCCGCCCTGGAGACCCACCCTGGCGGATGCCCCCGCTGTCCTGCAGGAGGGGGGCCACACTCCACGGCTGCTGTACGACCTCCCCTGGTCCCGCATTGGGAAGCTGGCGTTCCTGGTGCGTGTCTGATGCGGGGAGGGGGAGGAGGGGAGGGGAGGGGGGAGGGGCCTCCGGGCCCTGGAGCCCAGTGCACACACACTCGCCCTTCAGGGCGCTCTGCCCTCCACCGACTGGCGCCAGGATGCTCGGGCCCAGCTCCTGCCCCACAGTCGCCCGGGGCCAGGCCGGGGTGGATGGGCTGGGATGGGGGGCGGCAGGGATGGGGGGGCGGCGGGGCCAGGCTGGCCCTCAGCCCTTTCTCTGGACAGAGAAACTGAGGCCTGGGGTCCTCCCTGGGGTCTGCCCGGGACTCCGTGCACACCCACCCAGGGCAGCCGGGGGAAGTGTCTGGACTTCTCATCATGGAGTGCTGTGTACCCTGCTTTTCTGAGCCCCGAAACACCTACCTGCCCGAGGAATTAGATTTGCAAAGAATAGCGGCCGCTGCCCAGGGTGGGGTTGCCCGACGGTTAAAATGCTGCTCCCCCGTCATCATCCTCGTAAAATGGCATCTCCTCTCCCTCCTCCAGGGGAAGAAGTTCGAGATCCAGCCTGACGGGCTGCCGTCGGCCCGCAAGCTGGTGTACTACACAGGCGGCACCGCCCGCTCCCGCCACCTGCTGCGGCTGCTCAGCGCCAGCCACCAGCTGCACCTGGCCCTGCAGCCCCTGCTGGGGCACCTGCGGCAGCTGGATGGGGCGCAAGGTGGGCGCCACTGGGGCCTCCCCGCCCTGCCCTCGGCACCTTTGCGCCGTGGAGCGTGGCGTCCTGGCTCCTGTGGCCCCTCGGATGCCCTGGTCGAGGGGAGTGGCGGTGGCCTCTCTCCTCAGCTCTCCTGGAGCCCGGGTCTAAAAGCAAGGCCGGTGGGGAGGGGAGGGGAGGGCGGGGCCGGTGGGGTGGGGAGGGGAGGGCGGGGCCGGTGGGGTGGGGAGGGGAGGGCGGGGCCGGTGGGGTGGGGGGCGGGGCCGGTGGGGGTGGGGGCGGGGCCGGTGGGGCGGGGCCGGTTCTGGGGTGGGCAGGTTCTGGGGAAGAATTTCCCAGGTGACGCCTGCTTGCGTGGGTGGCAGCTCGGGGTCCGCCCGGCTGAGAATGGCCCGCACGCCCCAGGGGGTCAGCAGGAGGGCCCGCGCGGGGTCACGGGCTGCGGCGATGACAGGCCCCGCCTGGCTGGCCCTGGAGGTCGCTGTGGCCGGGCAGAGCCCTGACCTCTGGGCGGCCGCTTGCCCCCCGCATGCCGCATCTCCCAGGGCCCTGGCCCTGGCCCGGCCCCCACAGGCCCCATTAGCCCCGGGGGCTCCAGGAACGTGCGGCGCCTTCAGCCCGCAGCGCGCTTACCGTGGCTGTGCCTCCCGTCTCCCTGCACAGAGAAGTGCTACCGGGAGACCTACATCAGCGACACGCTGGAGCTGGGCCTGCGCCCGACCCCATCCCCGGCCCCGGCCCCGGCCAGCAGCGGACTCAGCGGGGACAGCAGTGGCAGCGGCCGGCACCGCCCCCGCCGGGGCCTCCCGCCCCTCTCCGCCCACAGCCACGGCAGCTCCCGCACGCCGGGCATGGAGCCCGGGGAGATGGCGGTGGACGCGCCCTCCGGGGCCGAGGCGGCCTCCTGCGGCCCCAGCCCAGGCCCTGGGGACACAGCGGGTGGTGGTGGAGGCCCGCCCCAGGGGGACGTCCAGGGCCCAGGCAACGGTGAGTGTGCGCCCCCGGCCCCAGCGTGGCCATCGCCAAGGCAACAGGTGTCACCCGAGAGGGGCAGCTGTCCGCGGTCCCCGTTCCTGACCGGGCGGCCCAGGTGTCTGGGCTCAGAGACAGGGCGGGTCGTGCGTGGGGCGGCAGTGGGGAGCGCCCTCTGCCGCTGACCCCGGGAGCCCCGGCCCCACAGAGGCCTGGCCGCCACGGCAGGAGCCGCAGAACCGCTGGCTTGGCGGGTGCTCCGCGGGCTCAGGGTGCTTCCGGGGCCGGTCCCGGGCTGTGGGACCCGCGTCTGCCCCACCCCTGACAGTGGACGTGAGGGCGACTGTGGGGGCAAACTCCGGGCCTGGCCGCCCGGGGCCACCAGGATCGCCCAGGGCCACTAGGCATCACCCATTGTCACCTAGGGCCGCCCAGGGCCACCCAGGGCCAGGGGGCGTTGGCCACCTTCCTGCCGCGTCCCCGTCTCCATGCCGAGGGCCGGGTCTGCCGGTGAAGGACGACTCGGCTCCCGCCTCCACGTCCGGCCGAGCGTGGGCTCTGCAGTCCGCACGCGCCCGCTGACGGCCTGGGTTGATGGGAGTTCCGAGCCCCGGGCCCACCAGAGCAGCCCCGCTGCGGGAAGGCAGGGCGCTGCACACCGAGTGCGGGGGCGGGGCAGCCGGAGGGTGGGGGGTGCAGGGGCCTGGGCTCGGGCCTTGGCTTCCCCGGGCAGGAGCCCTGAGCAAGGAATGAGGCTGCTCAAAGCGGGCCCCGTGGAAACCCCTGCTCACGGAAGGGGACTCAGGCACCTCACGTGGGGGACACGTGTGACCCTGTCTCTAATTGCAGGTGACCTTGAGCCCACCGCTGTCCTGTGAGGTCACAGCCGGCCCCCCGGGCAGCCCGGCAGCCCCAGAGGCTCGGTCCCGTCTTAGGGCCCCCAGGGGAGGGCCGCGGCATGGGGTGGGCACCCGGCCTCGGGGCTGACGCTGTCCCCCGGCCCCCGCTCACGCCCCCTCCCTTCCTTGCAGCCTCTCGCCCCCAGGAGCCCAGGGCGGTGGTGCGGGTCACGCTGGTCAAGATGAGGGGCTGGAGTGCCGAGGCCCTGTACCAGGTACCCCCAGCCTGTTGGGGCCCCGCATCGCCCAGCCTGCAGCGTGGCCATCCCTCCTGGCGGTGTGCTCACAGGGCGCCCCCCCTCCGCGGGCCTGGGCCTCCCTGGCTGTGGGTACACGCGGGGCCGGGCAGGGCAGCTGCACCCCCTGGAGCAGGGGAGCGAGGCCGGCATCTGGGGAGCCCAGGCAGAGGACGTGCGGGCGGGAGCCAGGCTCCTGGGGGAGGGAGGCGCTGGGCCAGGTGGGGAGGAGCTGCGGGCGGGGGGCTCCCGGCCCCGGGTCCCTGTGGCCAGGCATCCCTGCGTGGAGCGATGGGTCCTCCTCAGTGCCCCCCCACCGCCCGTCGAGGGCCCTGGGGCCGGGAATAGCTCACCTGCGGGCGCTTAGCGGGACCCGCCCTGCACTCGACCAGGGGAGCTCAGAGCCGGAGCCCTGGACGCGATTCCTTCTCCCGCGACATGGGGGGCTGCTCTGGACTCCGAGAAGGTTCTAGGTCTTACTCCTAAAATCCATCAACACCTCTAGTAACAACCCAGGTCCAAGGAGCTAAACAAACCAGCCGGCGCCTCGGTTGCCTCAAACGGGCGGAGGGAGGTCTCTGCCCATGGGGCAGGGCAAAAGCTCCCCGCGGAGACACGCGCTCCCTCCCTGGAGCCCCTCCAAGGCCGGACGCAGCGGGGGAGTGGGGGGCTGCGCTGGCCTGGCCTGCGCCCTGCACGCCAGGAGCTCCACCGCAAGGGCCGGGCGGCCGGGGCAGAGGGGCCATTCCTGCGGCCCGGCAGGAAGGCAGCGGGCGGCCGGGGGGCCTGGCGAGGAGGGGGGAGGGGGGAGGGGGAGGGAGGGGGAGGGGCGGCTGCCTGGGCATCCCCAGCGGGGGCAGCAGGCCAAGGGCACAGGGCAGGGGGGCTGCCAGGAGGTCAGCATTAGGCCTGGTGGGGGCAGCCGGGGGGACTGGGGGACTGCGACAGCCGGCGGGGGCCCCTCTGCTCTCCCCCTGCAGATCCGCGAGGCGGCCTCGGGCCCCATCCCCTCGGACCAGCACAGCCGCAGCCTGGATGACCTGCGTCCCGGCCGCGCCCCGCGACCTGTGCCTGCCCCGCGCCGCTGCCTGGGGGGCGCGGCGCTGGGCCCCCGACCCGCAGCCCTTGGCGACCATAGGCCCACGCGCGGCCTCCCCCTGGCTCTCCCGGGGGAGGACCAGCCCCCCGTGGAGTTTGTGGTGTAGGCTGCAGCGGCCGGGCCAGTCCCTGCCCACGCTGCACAGCCCACCCACGCGGGCCCTTCTGCATTGAGGGGCCCGTCCACATCAGGGGGTCAGTCCACATCAGGGGCTTGTCCCGCGGGGCAGCCCACTCCATGCCCTCAGCAGTGCAGCTCTGCCGCTGCGCCAGCCCCGGAGGCGGGACAGCTCCGACCCCCTTTCCTGGGCTGGAGGCAGCCACGTGAGCCTGGCGCCCCTGGACCGAGGCCTCCGGCTCCGTCCGCCCCCGCCCCGGGCCCCTCCCCCTGCGGCTTCACCTGTGAGAGCTGGGACCACAGCCGGCCACGGAGAGACCCCCGAGGTTGCCCCGCCCGTCCGCAGGAATGGTCCGCAAGCACACGGGCCCCCTGGGTGCCCCCGCCCCAGGTCCCAGTCCCGGCGAGGCCCCAGGCCCCCCTAGGCCGCCCCCTGCAGTCCTGCGGCTCCGTCGCCTCAGGCCCCACAGACAGCAGCCCCGCCGGCCGCCGGCACAGGCACCCCCACCACGCAGCTGGGTGGGCACCCGGCCCCCACAGAGCCCGCAAAGACCCCCAGCAGGAAGCTGACCGGGCGTCAGAGTCCTGAGCCTGCCCCTCCCCCACCCGCCTGGGCCCCAGGGCTGCGGTGGACAGCGCTGGCCACCCCTCCCCATCAGCAGGTTGGATGGGAGGGGGCACAGGTGGGGTGGCACCTGCTGGCCCCAGCTTCACCTGGCACTCACCGCTGGGCGCGGGTCCGGCTCGCGCAGATGCGGTCCCCGGGAAGTGCGCTCTGAGGGGCTGCGGCCTCGCGCAGGCCTCGCGAGCAGACTGCGTGACGGGGCAGGGAGGGGGCTGCCGGGGGGCGGCCCCAGGCTCAGCGTCTGTGCGGCAGACACGGCCGGCGGGTCAGGGGCACCGTGAGTGTCCACTGTGGTGAAGGGTGTTCCCCTTCGACACCTGTCGGTGGCCTGCTGGGCCCAGGCACGCATCTCCCCACCCCAGGGCCCTGCTTGTAGGGGGCTCCCCGGAAGCCCCCAGGACGGTGCAGAGTTGCTGGGTCGAGGGAGCGGGCCTTTGCCGACTGGCGGCCCGTGTCCCCGGACGGAAGGGTGGGGCTGGTGGCCCGTCTCACTCGCCTCCTGACGCCGGCCCCTGGGCAGAGTTGGCTCGATGGACCCCGGGGCCCCTCAGCCTCTCCCTGCCCACGGGCCGCCTGCCGCCCTCTCTGCACGTTGCTGTCACCCCGGGGCCCCGTGGGTCGCCCTGAGCCCGTTCCCTCACGGCCCCGCCCCCAGACGTCCGCTCCCGTCCTGCCAGCCGCGGGGCCCAGCTTCCCACGCTGCCCTCGGCGGCTCTGGGGGCGGGGCTCCTGCGCCCTTTCTGTGAGAGCGTGCGCACTAGGTGCATGTAATGAAGACCTGAACACACGACACCTGCGTGTGCGCGTGGCCGGCTTGGGCGGCTGGGCTGGGCTGGGCGGCACGGCCGCACACGGGCGGGCACCCCCACTGCGGCTCACCTGCGATGGCCCGTGTCGGAGCGCGGCCCGGAGAGCGCCCCGGAGGGGAGCTGTGCCCACGGCCCCCCCTCGCCCCTCGCAGGGACTGCGGAGAGCTCACCTCCAAGCTCACCTCCAAGGCCTCCCAGCCTCCCGGGCCCTGCCGTCCCGCCTGCCACAAGAGGGCGCTGGCGGCCTGACGTGGGCCCTGTGCCCTTCCCCCACCGTCGCTCGCGGTCCAGCCCTCCCCCCACCTGCAGGTGGCCAGCACCAGGCCCCACAGGAGGCTGGGACCCCTGTGCCCGGCAGGCGTGAGGCGCAGGGACCGCTTTCCGGCCCGGAGGGACTGCCGCTTCCCGTCCCCGTCCTGGCCCCGGGCCTTGTGGGCGGACCTGGGGAATTACGGCCGCAGCCTGGCACCGCCAGGCACCCTCTGCTTGTTGGGGGAGGTGGGAGGCCAGTCGGGCAGCAAGGGTCTTGGCCGCAGTCCCTGCTGGGCCTCCCTGCTGCCCCACCCAGCCAAGCTCATGCAGGGGGGGCGCCTTTGGAGAGTCAGACACCTTTTCCTTCAGGTGCCGGGGCACCAAATATCGGGGAGGCACAGCAGGTGTTTTCCAGGAAACCAGCCCCGGCCGGTGGGAGCCGTGGGTGGCGAGAGGCGTGGCGGCCGCTCAGTGGCAGGGGCCCAGCCCAGTTCCCTGTCCCAGTCGGCTGGACGGCCGCCCAGGTCCCTTCCGGGCCCAAGGGGCCGCTGGTGGCTCAGGAAAGGGCAGGCCGAAAGGACCACCTGCGCCCACCGAAGCCTGGCAGGCCCGGTGCGGACGGGGTCTAGATTCAGGGGCCCCCAGGGCTAGTTCGGCGCCCACCCCTGGGCCGGCCGCAGGCTTGCTGGGCCCGGAGACCTGTTGCAGCTGCTGTTCCTCCTGGGGGAAATGGAACTTAACAGGGGCTGGTGGCAGTTTTATTTGGGGCGCTGCCTGATGCCCCCCAGGGTGCCCCCGCAACACAGCCACGAGCCCAGGGGCGCAGAGTGCGCCTGGGACCAGTCCCCTCGCCTTGTGGGCTCATCTCCCGTGTCCTGTGGGTCCCTGTCACCCAGCCAATGGCTCCAGAGATGAGTCCGGGGGGTGGGGGATGGGACACCTTTCTCCAGGAAAGCCGGCTCGCTGGGCCCACGGTCTCATCCAGAACCGGGGCCACGGTGTCCCCGCGGCTCCTCGTCCTGCACAGCAGCAGCAGGGTGACCGGAGGCCCAGGGGGATTAAGCTTTCAGTCCCCTCCAAGTGCAGTTACAGGGTTTCATAGGGTTAGCAAAACAAAGCCGCTTTCAACCACAGCAGCCGAGACCCACCGGGGCCACCAGCCCCCTTCCCCCCACCCTCCTGGCCGCAGGGGGAACGGAGCCTGCGGGGCTGCTGGGGTCCAGCCCGGGGCAGGGGGCAGAGGTGGGGGCCCATTCAGGTCGGGTTGGGGGAGGTGCTATGAGGTCCCCGGACACGGGACAGCAGTGGCTTCCAGGGGACCCCTGTGGCCGCGGGCTCACCCTGTCCTGTGAGGACCCTGTCATACAGGGAGGACACAGCCATCGGGCCATGGACTTGGCTGGGCGTCAGAGCCGCCGCAGGGACCCAGCCGGGTTCTGGATCCTGAGCTCAAGCCTGGGAACCTTGGCCTGGCCTGTGCTGCCGGCAGCTGCCACCGCAGGCTCCACCCGGCGCCTCTCAGAGCCCATCCCGGGCCAGCCCCGCCATGGGGGGCGGGGGCTGCTCCTGAGGGCCCCACCGCCCGAGGGGGCTCCTTGTGGCCTCGGCCACGTGGCCTGGCTTGCATCTGGGCTCCAACGTGTATGGTCATTAACTTAGAAATAATAGGTTTACCATGTCCAAAGTAAGCAAGTTTATTTCTAGGGCACGTCACACGCAGTCGCGACGGGAAACTCTTTTAAGGGAGGAGGAAGCCCGAGCGCGCCTGCAGCCACCACGCCTCACCGGGTGCCCTGGGGGCGGGGCGGCCCCGCGCCACCCGCCACACGCAGGTCCCGAGGCCCCGGCTCTGCAGTCTCCGCCTCGTGCTCCCAGCACGGGACGCGCAGAGCATCACCAGCAGCTTCGCGCCGCCGCCTTTAAAAAAGGAGCGGCCAAGTGCGGGTTGGAGGGATCCAAGGAGCCAGGGCCGGGCTGGACAGCGGTGTGGGCGTGGCCGCGGGTGGGCGGCGGGGCCGGGTGCCCGGGAGCAACCCGCCCTGGGGCGGCAGCCGCCGGGACACTGTGGGGAGGTGCCCCTGGTGGCGCACGAGGCCCCCGGACGAGGGCTCCCTCCTGCGCCCCGGGGTTGGCAGGGGCACCGGGTTGCTCCCAATGGAACCGGCCTCCTCGTTTGCCTAAGGGCCAGCGGGAGGGAGAGCAGCGCAGGGCCCGAGGGCAGCACCCACAGCCCCGGCGGCGGCCTCCCCGGGCGGGCGTAGGGGCCCCGAGTTACCCAGGGCGTCCCGCAGCCGGCGGGTGAGCTTGCTGTCGCGGCAGGTGACGTGGCCCCTGCGCCCCCGGCACATCGGCGAGGGCCGCCAGGCTCCGGGTGGCGGAGGCCGGGCCGCTCGGGCCACACGCACCTGGGAGGCCAGAGGCCGGACTCTGGGGGACGGAAGGTGTGAACCGGAGACGCCCGGGGACGGGCACCCGTGGGGCCCCAACACGCAGCCCCGGGAGGCCTTTCCTCACAGCCCTCGACCGCATTACCCTCCCCACGGCCCCCACGGCTCCCAGCGGGAGCCGCTCTGGCGGGGAGCGATGGCCTGCGTTTCTGGACTGGCCCGGACAAGCGCCGTGGCAACGGGCTGAACGTCCCCCGCAGGGGGACCCCGTGCTCACCCCGGGGGCTGCTTAGCGCCTGCCTCGCCGGGACCTGCCCCGGGAGGGCGGCGCGCGCCCACCTGCGCACGCGCTGCGGCCAGGTCCACCAGCTGCAGCTGGGCGCGCACCTGCCCCGCGCGGCGGGCGGGGCTCTGGGGGTGGCCTTCTGCCCCTTCCCGGGCGCAGGCCTCAGGGACTCAGGGCGGGTGGGCAGCTGGAGTCCTGCCGGGCTTGGCCTTGGCTCTGCTGCAAGGACAGAGATGACAGGTGTTCCGGAAGCTTCCCTGGCCTCCCACCTGTGCTGAGTGCACCTCCCACCAGAGGCAGGCCGGCGCGGGATTTCCTGTTATGCCGGACGGGAGGGACCGCGCGGCTTCTCGGGAGGAAGGAAGCCGTTCGCTGGGGAAGTGAGCTAAGGCTCCCTCGTCCCGTGGGCTCTGCGTGCGGCTCCTCGGGGCCGGGAGTCAGAGCCCCGCTCCCTCCGCCAGGCCGCGCCGCCTCCGAAGTGAACCCGTCCCTTCCTGCCGGGCAACTGCCCTCCCCGGGGCCCTGGCCAAGCCCTGCCAGCGATGGAGACGCTGGCTTCCTCACGTGTGGTTTCTGAACAGACTGCTTAAAAAGCTTTTTAAAAAACCTAACAGTGCACAGTCATTGTGG